TAGCCAGGATGGTCTCGATCTCCTGACCTCGTGATCCACCCGTCTCGGCCTCCCAAAGTACTGGGATTACAGGCTTGAGCCACCGCGCCCGGCCTGGATTTTCCAATTTTAATAATCTCTTTCTAGAATCAAGTTGTAAGTGCAGAAAGAACTAGCTCAGAACATCACTGATTCCCTGGCCATTCACCAGCATGCACACCCAGAATAACAACGCTCCTCAATGATACTACTGCAAGTACCTCGCCGATGGCCTTGATCTTGCTCAGGCAGTTCCTCATGGCTGTGCTGTCAGTGTTCTCAAGGGTTCCCTCTTCCTCCAGGGCGGCCAGGTAGGCAAGGGTTTCCCTGCCGTACTGCTTACAGGCCTCGGTCAGTGCTGGAGATACAAGGCAATAGACACCTTTTTTTTTTTTTCTTTTGAGACAGAGTCTCGCTCTTGTTACTCAGGCTGGAGTGCGCTGGCGCAATCTCGGCTCATGGCAAACTCCGCCTCCTGAGTTCAAGCAATTCTCCTGCCTCAGCCTCCCGAGTAGCTGGGATTACAGGCGCCTACCATCACGCCTGGCTAATTTTTTGTATTTTTAGTAGAGATGGGGTTTCACCATATTGGCCAGGCTGGTCTCGAACTCCTGACTTCAGGTGATCCACCTGTCTTGGCCTCCCAAAATGCTGGGATTACAGGCGTGAGGCACCGTGCCTGGCCCTATCCTCGTATCTTAACCGATATACTCCAATTCATAACATTGGGGGAAAAAATGGAAAAAAATGGTACTGCATAGAAATGGTTTTCTTATTTTTCTTTCCCATAGAGTCCATGTCTTTTCTGTCCCTATATACATTTAACCCAATTTCTGGTATACAGGACATATTGACTACTTATTTATAGCGGAGGCAGGGTCTTGCTCTGCTGCCCAGGCTGGAGTGCAGTGGCACAATCATAGCTCAGTGTGGCCTCCAACTCCTGGGCTCAAGTGATCCTCCTGCCTCAGCCTCCCAAGTAGCTGGGACTACAGGTGCATGACATCACACCTGTCTAATTTTTAAAAAATTTTTATTTTGTAGAGATAGGGTCTCACTATGTTGCCTAGGCTGATCTTGAACTCCTGGCCTCAAGTGATCCTCCTGCCTCGGCCTCCCAAAGTGCAGGGATTACAGGTGTGAGTCACCGTGCTCGGCCACTACATCTTTAGTAAATGAATAAATACAGTGTTATGTCCATTTTGGGTATTACCTGGCCATCTAGATAAAAATCCTTAGAGACAGGGGAGCTGCCTATACTTCTTCGATATTGCCTAGTGTAATGATGAGAACACAGCAGATTCTCAGCTAACAGCCAGTGAATTAAATACAGCTGGAAAATCCTTCAGGAGGTTTTCTCTTTTTAAATTTTTT